ATGAAATGTATTTTGGGGGAGGGTAAAGGACAGCTGTGTAACGATGAGCGAAGAATAATTTATTGGGGCCCCATGATAAAGGTTCACAAACTCACAAACCCTAAAAGTATGTCAGGAGGGAGACCAAACTTTCCTCATGTATCTGCAATCTCGGGCTCTTGTTATTACTAGCGCCACTTTTCACCTCGGATCAGGATATTGTGAGTTTAGGCCCCAACCCAGGACTTGAGCTCATAATCTAGGCTGATACACCAGTGTCGCGGTGAGTGAGCGCTATATTGTTGGTGGGTCAGATAGCCGTTAATAATCCCACACACTGTTTTGTAGGAGACCACAGAGTTCGCTCAGTGTCCTGGCCATTGTTCTTCCCTGATCAAATTCACTAAACAAATGTCCGTCTACGCTCTGTAATACAGTTCCGCTGCTCTTTCCCTATTCCAATTTAAAATAATAATAATCTTCGCATTCGATATAGCGCCTCATCATACCTTCGAGGGGTCTCAAAGCGCTTCAGAGAATATACCGCAAAGTGAATTGAGTGCGTATTTTGTGGGCGAAACGCGGCAGCCAATTGCGCATATTTTTCCTGAAGGAATTATCCAATTTCCCTTCAAATGCTGTTATGGACTTCACTTCCACAGCCATTTGTGAGAGTCTGTGTAAAAAGAGATTCTCCCAACCTCCCCCTTTTTTTCTTCCGGTAATAATCCTCAATTTATGCCCGCCTGCTTCTGATTCATTCATCTTCTTGCTCTTTGTGGGACTCTAGCTGTGCAGATTAGCTGCCCCGTTGGCCTATAAAGTGACTCATTGTGTGAGGCGCTTGGAGATATTTTTATGTGATAAGGCGTTATGTCAAATGAAAGTATTACTGTTCAATAAATGTGTCACACTCAGGATTTCTAAGAGGCTTTTAAAAACTTTGAATTTGGAATTTTTTTTTTACTGACTGGCTACCTTTTTATAGAATTTTTTTTTGGAGAAATGTCGTTCCAGAACCGCACCGCCCATTAAACATTCAAACAAAATTAGACAGATGAATGAACAGCCAGGAATTAAGATACAAAGCACATCCCGGAGTATTAAACTCACTTTTGTTTAATACTGGCAAACAATTGATTATTGATGGATTGAGGAATCACCGAACTGCATCCCACATTCCCTTCACCTTGCACGCTCCCTTGCCTCCACCAAGGCACGTCTCAAGACCCTCCTCTTCGACCGCACTTTCAGCCACCCTTCTACACCCCGGCCTCCTTGATCCCGAGCCCACCCCCCCCCCCAGTTCAGGTCCAAATCCCAGATTGTCCAGCGCCTTGGGACATCCTCCCGATGTGAAAGGCGCTATACTAATGTCATTTTGTGTTGTATTGTATCATTTCAACACTTAGAGCACAAATAATAATAATCCTTGTATATGATATAACACCTTATTACGTCTTTGAGACGTCTCAAAGCGCTTCACAGGATACACTGTAAAGTGAATTGACTGTAATAAATTTGTGGAAGAAACGCGGCAGCCAATTGCGCACAGCAGCGTCCCACAAACGGCCGTGGATCGACTGGCCAAATTATCATTATTTTTTGTTTGCAACGATGACTTTTCAAACTGGTCACTCCTTTGAACGCAAAAAACAATTGCCCAGACTGGGTGAGAGAGATAGCTGTGTACAGAGGCCCTAGAATCTGATTAGCGGGCACAAACGCTGGAACTTCCCATGAAAAACACAGCCACAAACGCAGTGAAGACTTTGCTGCTGAAAGCTCTTTCAATCCTCAAATGAGAAATAGAATGCTTCAGGCTCATAACAGTTGCTGGACAGATACGACTTTTTATTATCCTCAGAGCTCCTGTTATCAGAATTGTAGGTAGACTCAAATATTCTCGTTAGATACTGTTCTCTCCCACCCGGCGGCTCACGTTAGCTTATACCAGTGAACAATCATCATGCATCACAAAATTATATATGTATTTTAAAGTTGCTTTTATTTGGTTTAGAAACACTACTGCCCAGCCAGTAAAATACTCAAAAGCTTTATCGTTGAAGGAATGAACTCCTCTCTCTCTCTCTCTCTCTCTTTCTCGTTCGCCAACACACTCACTCTTTCTCCCTGTGTGGAACACAAATGCAATTTTCCATTGCATAAGAATGACATTCAATTAAAGTCACCTTGCCGGATTTGACAGCTCTCAGGATAATCTTGCGCGATGGTGTTCTGCAGCACTAGACATCACCTTACACTGAGATAAAAGCGACCCGACTCAGAAGAGGAGGCACACACAAGTAATAATAATAATAATAATCCTTGTATTTGATATAGTGCCTTATCAAGTCTTCGAGACGTCTCAAAGCGCTCGACAGAATATACTATGAAGTGGATTGACTGTGCATTTTGTGGGCGAAACGCGGCAGCCAATTGCGCACAGCAGCGTCCCACAAACAGCCGTGGATTGAGTAAACGCTCAGCTGCCCTGCGTGGACAGTCCACGACAGACGCTTCGTTCTCTCTCTTTCTCTCCCTGAAAGTGCAGCACTTAGGCACACGGCGACGTACAATTCACAGCATTAATTCAAGACGAGAGTTTAGCAGTCTCTCGTGTCACCTTTCTACCGAGCGCGAGTGACAAGCTAACTGGGACCATCCAGGAAAAGGGGGATTTGTTTGAATGCCGTTGTCGGTGCGGAGCTGCGAGATCACCTCAAATGGCACTGCTCTATCTGGCCCGGGGACTGACAATTATAACGTAAACCAAAACAGGGGAGGCGTGAACTATTGTCTGAACTATTTGGATTTGGTTACAATTACTCTCTGAAGCTTCTTCCCGTGGAAAAAAAATCTTTGTTTCAAAAAGCATTTTTTTTTAAAAAAAACGTGTTCAGAAAAATCCCACGAACAAGGAACACATTAGCTTCGGATGAGGGAGGGATAGGTTATTCCCTCTTATTGTAAGTGTCAAGCGCAAACAGAACGGAAAACCCATTTTTCTCAGCGTCCGACAAGGCAGATCTCTGTAAAGAAAGGTTCAGTACTTGTCCCGACATCAGCTTTGAGATTAAATAAATCAGTTGATATTTAATCATAAAACAGCGAGAACATGCAATATTACTGGCGAAGCTTAAACATCTCATTCCCTCTCTTCCCCTCCTGTGAAAGGAGAGCAAAAATATTTATGATGAGATACTTAACGCAAAGTAACTCATGTTGCAGTGACTGAGCATTAGCTTAGCTGCTAACGGTACAGTGCACTTGCTGCCCTTTGGGTCATTATTCGTTGTGTTTTAGAATGCATTTAATCCTCTGTTAATTTTTCTTTATTCATTCCAACAATGGTAAGCTACTCCAGAATTTTCTTACCCTCCCATCTGCTCCGTCAGTCTTCAATTCATTCAATCTCACACCCTAACAAGACAAAAGCTTGCGACCGATGAGGGAGGAACATTTTATCTCTTCTCAAACCAGCGCATTCATTATAATATACCTTTATTGATGAAACACCCAGATCTCTTTGATCCCATGTATATATTTTTTTAAAATCTAGTGTAAAAAGCATTAAACTGGAATTTCTAACAAACCACCGTAAAATTAGGAACTATAAATCCTTATAAATCTATAAATCCTTGCCATCCTCTGACACCAAAGTTCAGTAGCTTGCCGTTTCGTGACTAAAGCCACGACCTGGAATTACGGATCACCTCGCAGGAATAAAACCCTGAACATAAAAAAAAACACAGACTCTCTTACAATCATCTCCCTTTATATGTAAAGACTTATTTTTAAAACAAGTCGCATTGCGGTTACAGCCAGACTCCGTCCAGCTCCTCTGAGAAGGGTGATGGGAGGGGGGAGAATTGATATGTTCAGAAACCAGCGAGTGCAAAATCGGCCACTGCAAAGTACCGTTTCTCCTCCACGGCAATGAAAGATTGACTTAGGTTTGCTTGAAACGCACTCAGCAGCACGATCGAACATGAACGATGTCCTCGCAAGCTCTCTTCTGTTCATCCAGCATCTCACACGAAGAGTACGCAATATTAGAATAATTTAAAAAAACACAGACAAGCCTTATTTATAAAACAAATTTGGCTTCCCCATAGTGCAGTAGGCTTCTCTCTCCTTATATCTACAATATTAAACCACTTTTTTGTTTCTTTACATTATTTGCATGCTCTTACATATAAAGTTTGTTTTAAAGACATCAAGCAAAATATATATTCGAAAAAGGCAGATACTAACTGGATTCTACCTATGTTGCAGGTACGATGCAGTTAAATATTAAAGAGAGTTCTTTTTATGCTTTGTACAATTTCTTTAAGAAAAAACGCTTTGTATAACTGCAGGGTTGGTCTGAGAGTGTTAATTTCTTCCCTTGTTTCTGTTAGCAGGGTTTCAGCTGGGAGTGAGCAGCGGCAGGTATAATAATTGTAAATAAGAGTGACTCGGTTTCTTCAGTTCCCACTTCCCTCACAACTGCAAACTGCTGCTTAGACCGGGAAAGGTTAAAAACACATGGGAGCCATGCTTCCCTTGCCCCTCACAAGATACAAAAAAAAAGAGAAAGTACTTCAAATGCCGTACATGTCCAGCATGCAGGGTTCCCTTTAAAAAGGTCACATTTGTTTAAAATTCACTATTTTGTAACGTCTTTGCAATTCAGTCTATTTTTCCCTGTAAAACGATTTTTTTTCACACTTAAAAAAAAAAAAAATCTTCTCTTCCTTCTCCCCACTCTCCACTTGGTGGTCCCTGTAGTTTTTAATGTCCAGAATTCGGATTCGCTTTCTCTTTTCAGAATTGAACCGCTTCTGAAATAATAAATGATAATAATCCTTGCCTTTGATACAGCGCCTTATCGCGTCTTCGAGACGTCTCAAAGCGCTTCACCGAAAACACTGTAAAGCAGATCGACTGTATAATTTTGTGGGCGAAACGCGGCAGCCAATTAATTGCTCGCAGTAGTGTCCCGCAAACCGCTGTGGATTGAGTGACCAAATTATCATTATTACTTTTGACAGAATCCCTTCTCCAAACAAACAAAAAAAACATTCAGAGATCCTTAGTCCTACACGTCCTCTTTAAAATTATTTACATCAACCCTCCCGCCCCCAAAAAGTTCTGTACACTAAGTGAAAGTCACATCAAAAAACTGTCCGCTGTTCCTTTCGTTGCCTGGTTCGGGTTTCACATGAAGAACTGATTGGAAGCCGAGCTCTTGGTGGGGTTGGGGGCTGAGGAGCCCACTTCCCTGTAGCTCCTGGCCAGCTTCTCGTACTTGTCCTTGTACGCATCCCTCTCCTTGCCCAGCCTCGCCACCTCCTGCTTCAGCTGCTCCACCTGCTGCTGAAGGAGCGACTTCTCGCTCTCCAGCATGTGTCTCTGCTGCACTCGCTTGTACCTGCAGGACTGGGCATAACCCCTGTTCTTCAAGGTCCTTCGCTTCTGCTTCAGACGCAGCACCTCTTCCTTGGTGAAGCCCCGCAGCTGCCTGTTGAGCTCCCTCACCGACATGCTGACCAGCTGCTCGTCAGAGAAGCGCTCCTCCAGCCGCAGGTGATGATGGTGGTGGTGGAGAGGCGCCTGGTGCTGATGGTGCCCTCCTGCAGGCATCTCCTCCCCCGCGTACTGCTGGGTCCTGTAGCTCTCGAAGTGGTGATGGTGGTGGTGGGCTTGGGAGCTCCCGATCAGGGCTTCCACGGCATCCTCCGGGGTCAGGTTGAGAGCCTCTGGGCTGATGTGGTGCTGGTAGTTGCTGATCCAGTACAGGTCCTCCAGGTGATGTGTCTTGTTGGCAAGGCTCGGGGCACACAGGCTGGGGGAGGAGGGCACCGAGCTGCAGGGGGTGCTGATGGGGGTGGAGGACAGAGAGCCGGAGATCCTATTGCAGTAGCGATCAGCCTCCGGCGGCTCCTTCTTCACCTCGAATTTCATCAGGTCGAAGTCGTTCACGTACTCGATGGCTAAAGGGCTGGTGGGCAGCTCAGTATTCAGGCTCAGGTCTGAGGCCATCTCAAGTCCATATAAAAACAAGATGGGGAAGTTTGCAAGGAGCGAATCCGGAGGCGAGACCGACCGTGAGCTGAGCCGAGGACTGAGCTGGGGGCTGAGGGACTGGGGGTTGGGGGGCTGGGAGTTGAGGGGCTGAGGGTTGAGGGGATTGGGAAGTTGGGGCCTGAGGGGCTGGGGGTTGAGAGGATTGGGAAGTTGGGGGGCTGAGGGCTGGGGGACTGGGGAGTTGGGAGGCTGAGGGTTGAGGGGCTGGGGGGTTGAGGGGATTGGAAAGTTGGGGGGATTGGGAAGTTGGGGGGCTGGAGGGTTGAGGGGCTGGTGGGGTTGGGAAGTTGAGGGGCTGGGAGGGTTGAGGGGCTGTGGAGGTTGAGGAGCTGGGGGGGGGTTGGGAAGTTGGAGGGGCTGGGGGGTTTGGGTAGGGTGGACTGAAGGTTAGGTTTGGGGGTGGGGAGGGTGGACTGAGGGTTAAGGTTGGGGAGGGTGGACTGAGGGTTAGGTTTGGGGATGGGGAGGGTGGGCTGAGGGTTGGGGAGAGGGTGGGCTGAGGGTTGGGGAGGGGGTGGGCTGAGGGTTGGGGGGCTGTTGGGAGTACCTGGTCCCAGTGCGTAATTCCCCCTTTCACTTCACTTTCAGTCCAGGCTCCAGCGACATTGAAACGTAGCGTTAAATTCACCAGCAAAATTCTCTTTTTTTCCCCCCAAAACCAAAAAACCAACCAACGAAGCAACGAACGAGATCCTGATTCTTCTCCCAACTTTTGCTTTAGTTCTTTTTTGGGGCAAACAAAACAAATGCAGAATATTCGGGTCTCAGCTCTCTTGCTCCTGGTCTGATCTCATAGCCAAAAGGTCTTCTGTCTCTCCTTGTGGTGTTGACCCCACAACAACCCCCCAACCCCAATCTCCCCCACTCACTGCCAAGTCCGGCGTTTTCTTTCTTTTTTTTTTATTGACGTCTTTGTTTTTGTTTCGTACGGATTCTCTCTGGTTTCGGTCACACGCACACAAAAAAAAAAACAGGCGATATGTAAAAGTCTTTTTGCTTTTCTCTGCGCGTGTGGTTGTTGTTGTTGTTATGGGTTTTTTTTTCGGAGGTGATGTAGTTGGCGATGGGGAGGAGGTCGGTCCCCACTAAATTGCTCTTCTCCCCTTCCCTCTCCGCTCAAGTCGATCGATACGATCGATCGATCGAAGCAATAATCAATCGATCAGAGGGATGGATTTCGTGGCGCTCCGGCTTTCGTGGCAAAAGAAACAACCAAAAAAACTTGGCTCCGGCGCCGACCGAAACAACAACAACAAAGATGATATATATGTAATATATATATGTAAGAAAAAAGTTTCATCGGGAATATCGATCAGCAGGATATCGATCCCCAGTCAGTCAGACGGTCGGTGTGTGGGGGTCGCATTGGTTACCCAGCGAGGAGGAGAGGGTCAGAAACCCCGACACACACACACACACAGTCAGCTTCACATCATCAATAAATATATTAACTCCACGATCTCTCTCTCTCTCTCTCTCTCACTCCTTCTCTCACACTCTGACTCTCCCTCTCTCTCCCTCACTATCTCTCTCCCTCCTTCTCACACACTCTCTTCTCTCCCTCTCTCTGACTCTCCCTCTCACTCACTCCCTCCCTCTCTCTCTCCCTCCCTCACTCCCTCTCTCACACTCTCTGTCACTAACTCTCTCTCTATATCTCTCCCTCCTTCTCACACTCTCTCTTCTCTCCCTCTCTCTGACTCTCCCTCTCACTCACTCCCTCCCTCCCTCCCTCTCTCCCTCCCTCACTCCCTCTCTCACACTCTCTGTCACTAACTCTCTCTCTATATCTCTCCCTCCTTCTCACACTCTCTCTCTCTCTCCCTCCCTCCCTCTCTCACACTCTGTCACTAACTCTCTCTCTCTCTCTCTCTCCCTCCTTCTCACACTCTCTCTTCTCTCCCTCTCTCTGACTCTCCCTCTCACTCACTCACTCCCTCCCTCTCTCCCCCTCACTCCCTCTCTCACACTCTGTCACTAAACTCTCTCTCTCTCTCTATCTCTCTCCCTCCTTCTCGCACTCTCTCTTTCCCTCCCTCACGCTCACTCACCCTCACACACTCTCTCCCACTCTCACTCTCTCCCTCCCTCTCCCTGACTGTCTCTCACTATCCCTCCCTCTCCCCCTCTCCCCCCCCCCCACCAGCAGCAGAGTTTGGACTTGTTGTTGTTGTTGTTGTTGTGGTGATGGTGTTAAACCCCCCACCACTTTCTTCTCCTCCTCCTCCCTCCCTCCCTTCCCTCCCTCCCCCTCCTCACCCTCTCCCTCCTGCTCCTCACCCCCTGATGACAGTCGGCCCCGCGCCGGCAGTCGGCGGTTCCCGAGTCAGACTGAGCGGCCCGCGAGCCCCGGCACCGCCTTTTATAGCTTCCGCCCCGCCCCCCGCCCCGCCCCCGCCCCGCGGCGCCACGCCCACCAGCGGGCGGGGCCTCGGGTCAGCCTCCACCAATGGCAGAGGGCGCCGGGCCGGGAAAATTTGCATAGCCCCCGAGCGGCCGCGGGGCCCGACTGTCAATCACTCACCCCCCCCCCCCCCCCCCCACCGGCTCCCATGGCGACCGTGGCTGGGAGTGAGGCGGCTGTCAATCACTCACCCCCCCACCGGCTCCCATGGCGACCGTGGCTGGGAGTGAGGCGGCTGTCACTCGCTCACTCTCACCGGCTCCCATGGCGACCGTGGCTGGGAGTGAGGCGGCTGTCACTCGCTCACTCTCACCGGCTCCCATGGCGACCGTGGCTGGGAGTGAGGCGGCTGTCACTCGCTCACTCTCACCGGCTCCCATGGCGACCGTGGCTGGGAGTGAGGCGGCTGTCACTCGCTCACTCTCACCGGCTCCCATGGCGACCGTGGCTGGGAGTGAGGCGGCTGTCACTCCCTCACCCCCCACCGGCTCCCATGGCGACCGTGGCTGGGAGTGAGGCGGCTGTCACTCGCTCACCCCCCCACCGGCTCCCATGGCGACCGTGGCTGGGAGTGAGGCGGCTGTCACTCGCTCACTCTCACCGGCTCCCATGGCGACCGTGGCTGGGAGTGAGGCGGCTGTCACTCGCTCACTCTCACCGGCTCCCATGGCGACCGTGGCTGGGAGTGAGGCGGCTGTCACTCGCTCACTCTCACCGGCTCCCATGGCGACCGTGGCTGGGAGTGAGGCGGCTGTCACTCGCTCACTCACCGGCTCCCATGGCGACCGTGGCTGGGAGTGAGGCGGCTGTCACTCCCTCACCCCCCCACCGGCTCCCATGGCGACCGTGGCTGGGAGTGAGGCGGCTGTCAGTCACTCCCTCCCTCCCTCCCTCATTCATTCCCTCACTGTAATACTGAAATACCGTATTTCATTTTAAAGTATCTTCAAGAACACAACTTAGTTTTAAAAAAAAAGGACACGTTGCGAGTTCGCAGAAAGAGAGGGTCCTTTTGAAAATAATAATAATAATAATCCGGTCACTCAATAACCGACTGTTTGCGGGGGCGCTGCTGCGGGCGATTGGCCGCCGTGTGTCTCCCGCAAAACATACAGTCGATTCACTTTACAGTACGTTCTGGGAAGCGCTTTGAGACGCCTCGAAGGCGCCGTATCAAATGCAATGATTGTAGGATTATTACTCATAGTTGTTTTTAAAGAGCGGGTGACTCGTGGTCTGCAAAGCGATACGCAGGAATGTGTGCAAATCCCACTCGACGGATCTGTTGAGAAGACTGTATATTTGTCGTGATTTCCAAGCAGTAAAGGGGGAACGGTGTCAAGGGTTTGAGGGACTTGTTCTCTGGTTAAATCATTCACTTATCACGGGCAGCCCGCGGGGTGGAACTGACGTGGAAAAGCAAGTGTGACGGGAAGCTGCTTTTCGTGTAATTACAGGATTGTGTAAAATAACACATAAAAGTTTCACCGGATGGATTTACGGATAAAGTGAGAGACGGTATCACCGTGATCGTCAATAGTGATTTTTTTTTAATCTCACAATTTTTTGGGTAAAATGATTCAGGCAACACATCGATTTTTTTCTTAATAAATTTCTCGATCAGGGTGTTGTATTAATTAGAGTTTGGCTTTAGGGGAATGGAGCATGTCACACAGAAACATGTCTTAATGCAACTGCACTTTATAACGCTAATCAAACTGTAACTGGATTGTCGTTCTAAACTAAAAAAAACGCTAGAGCAATTTACCTTATCGACCTTGATGATAGTATTAGAGTTACTGTTCAGCTTTTCAATCTTTAATAAAATATAACTTAATTGAACCAGGTTCTTATGGTGTTCGAACCTCATTCGTGAAGTGAACAAGTGTTAACTACGGGAATTAATGGGATGTTTCAACCAGCTAGTCAGCCCGATGCACTAAAATCCCATAATAATCCCTCCAAAAAAACAAAACAATAATAAATTGGTCATTTTCAATCTACGACTGTTTGTGGGACATTGCTGTGCGCAATTGGCTGCCGCGTTCGCCCACAAATATACAGTCAATTCACTTTACAGTGTGTTCTGTGAAGCGCTTTGGGACGTCCTACCGACGTGAAAAGCGCTATATCAAATGCAAGGATTATTATTATTATTATTATTATGAAATAATAATCCTTGCATCTCAATAATCCTTGCACTTGATGTAGCATCTTTCACGTCGGGAGGATGGCACAAAGAGCTTCACAGGATTGCAAATATATAAGTTCCCTTGCTTCTTCAATATAATTCCCTTTATTTGCAGAACATCCTTCAGCAGGTGTAAAATAAACCACTTGGACTGTAACGGACAGTTTGCAAATATGCGCAGCTCTGGAATTGCATTCTCTCTCTCTCTCTCTCTCTCTCTCTGTCTCTTGTGAAAACACCCTGAGCAACGCTCATCCAGGTTTCCTTCTTTGGTTCTCGTCATTTCTCTCTTTGTTCAGCATCTCTGTTTTTCATCTCCCCCTCTCGGAGGAGAGGAGTGTGGGTGGTAAGAGAAAAGAGTAATCATTTTCTCATGTTTTCTCTCGAGCCTAAATCCCTCCACAAAGAGGACCTTAGCTGCTCCCAAGCCCTTTTTCTAAATATCCGCCTCACTGAAAGGCTTACTGTGCCTTGCTCTCCTCGTCGCA